ATGTTTTTTTGGAAGATTTCAAAGATGACAATTTTTATCGCAAAATTTACGGTTTTTCAATCAAATCAACCCCCGGGAAGAAAAATATACCTGTTGAACTACCTATCTGGATAATAAAACATGAACAAAACTCATTTTTGTGCATTTCGGAGCCATCTCCTTTTTCGTGTCATTTTGTAAGGCCGATACCCGTATTTATTAAAAAAATAAAATAAAATAAATGTGCAACCTACTAAAACCAATGGGGCCCTCCCCGGGGTCATTCCTCTCGCATTTGCTACAAACTAGTATTACTAATAATACTAATAATAGTAGTCCCTTTTAATAGGGGATCATGTTTTTTGTCCATTTTTGTCCATACGGTACCCTATATTTTCAAGATGGACAAAAAATAAGGTGGACAAAAAATAATAACACTACACTTTTTTACACCATACATAAAAAAAGGCAAAAGTGTAGTGTAAAAAAGTGTAATTAAAGGTGTAGTGTAAAATAGCCTAAAATAGCCTAAAAAGCCTTTAAAAGTGTAAAAAAGTGACATCTTTTTCCTCATCAAAGGTATGTTTTACCTTTGGAAATGTACTATGTGAAGACTGATTGGAAAATAATTACATGAACTGAAAGTTTTTTCTCGAACATTTAAGATAATCTTAAAATTGTCAGAAGTGGGATTTGAGATGTTGTAACACTACACGAACAATTAAAATTCATAATACAATATTCAGTAATGTACAGTAATTACCAGCCAATTTTATGAATCTGAGTAGTTTTCATAGAAAAAGTTCAAACTTCGAAAACATGATATACTTTTTAACGAAGATTTTAATAATGCATTTTAACAATTTATTTTAACAATGCATTTTAACATAATATACAGTTAAATTAATTAGTGGCTTGATGCCATGATAGCCGAGTGGTATAAGACGGCACACTCTAGACTATCTGTATGGAAGTATTCTGGTGTTATTGGTTCAAACCCCACTGCTAGCAACTTCCTGCTACTAACCTATCTTGGAATGCAAAACAAAAAGTGTTACATTACAAAATATAATGATAAGTTCACAATGTTTAACACTACGTAATGTGAGATTTAACACTTATGAGAGATAATATATACTGCTATTTACGTATAAAGAACATGTCAGGATGGCCGAGTGGTCTAAGGCGCCAGACTCAAGAGATAATATATCTTGTCTTCACACGAAGGAGCATTCTGGTCCACGAATGTGGGCGTGGGTTCAAATCCCACTTCTGACACTTTTACGATTATCATCAACATTCGTTTTTATTTTATCAATTTAAAATTATAATTTAAAAAATCTCGCTTCATCTGGTATTCAATTTGTGGTATTCGTTGTTTATTTCTGCGAAATGTATTTAATTACTACAAACTTTTTAAAATTTTTTATAATAAAAATTTTAAATAAAATTCCGGTAACTCGGTAATCTGCCGATGCACATCTGGGGCACACCTCGGGCACACCTCGGGCACACCTCGGGCACGAGATGTGCCCCAGGTGGTTCTGCCCGAAGTGTGCCCGAAGTGTGCTTTGTGCCCCAGGTGTGCCCGAGGTGTGCCCGAGGTGTGCCCGAGTTTGTGCCCCAGGTGTGCCCGAGGTGTGCCCCAGATGTGCATCGGCAGATTACCGAGTTACCAAAATTCCTCTCGCATTTGCTACAAACTAGTATTACTAATAATACTAATAATAGTAGTCCCTTTTAATAGGGGATCATGTTTGATGTTTTTTGTCCAATTTTGTCCATGCGGTACCCTATATTTTCAAGATGGACAAAGAATAAGGTGGACAAAAAATAAGGTGGACAAAAATGGACAAATATGGACAAATATGGACAATAATGGACAAAAATTTCAAAATACATGAAATAGTCCGAGATGAAAGGGGAACTTGCTAGCTTTTCGGGTTAAAGGCAATCACCTGTCTAGATGATGCTCAAAACATTTGGCCTTTATTTCATTTTTGTACTAAATGTAATAATGGTGTTTTGGGCCACACCCTTTTCTAGAGTTTTGCGATCACTCGAATTTTTGTATTTTTTTAATAGTAAAAAAAGTGTACCTTTTTTACTAGGTACACTTTTTACTACGCCTAAAAATGTAGTTGAAATTTTTGTCCATTTTTTCCCGATCCATGACTCAAAGTGCCGAAGGCACAAAAGAGTCAAGGACAAGGGTTAGCGATCGAGGTTTTTTTTGATATAGTAGCTTTGCGACCGTGCGTGCGTGCAAGCGTGCGAGCGAGCGTACGTGCCTGCGCTCCAATATGTCGCCCACGTTCTTAACTAGCGTGCGCAAAGTTATTTTGCGAGATATTCTGAATTAAATAATTGTTGTCGCGCGGCACTGAACTGACCAAATAAACTGTCAATTTCACCATGATATGTACGTATCCCACTAGGCACTTATTGATAGCATATTGTTATTATTGTTAGTATTGTTAGTATTACTATTTTGCACAGATCCGTGTCAGGTTGCATAAACAATAAAGTCAAACAATAAACATACGGTTACACGATTTTCAAATTCAATATGGAATTAAATGGGCGGCGCTCGGCCTGTCACACCGCTATACTGGGGACCCAGGTTATTTTGAATATAATAAAATAAGCCATCACGGATCGGGAAATTGAGCGGCCATCCACAAAAGAAAAGCGGCCGCATTTCTTGTTGTCCATGCGGTACCCTATTTTCTGAAGATGGACAAAATCGTAGGGACAAAAAAACATGATCCCCTTTAATACTAACATCTTCCTGAAACCAATAATACATACACTGATGACTAATATAGACAAACAGAATAATTAATACACCGGATAATGTACTCGATGATAATACTTGTTCCTGTCGAAATAAAACGGTTACTGATAATCGTAAAAGTGTCAGAAGTGGGATTTGAACCCACGCCCACATTCGTGGACCAGAATGCTCCTTCGTGTGAAGACAAGATATTATCTCTTGAGTCTGGCGCCTTAGACCACTCGGCCATCCTGACATGTTCTTTATAAGTAAATAACAGTATATATTATCTCTCATTAGTGTTAAATCTCACATGACGTAGTGTTAAACAATGTGAACTTATCATGATATTTTGTAATGTAACACTTTTTGTTTTGCATTCCAAGATAGGTTAGTAGCAGGAAGTTGCTAGCAGTGGGGTTTGAACCAATAACACCAGAATACTTCCATACAGATAGTCTAGAGTGTGCCGTCTTATACCACTCGGCTATCCTGGCATCTAGCCATAAAGTAATTTAACTGTATATTATGTTAAAATGCATTGTTAAAATAAATTGTTAAAATGCATTATTAAAATCTTCTTTAAAAAGTATATCATGTTTGAAGTTTGAACTTTTTCTATGAAAACTACTCAGATTCATAAAATTGGCTGGTAATTACTGTACATTACTGAATATTGTATTATGAATTCTTCGTGTAGTGTTACAACATCTCAAATCCCACTTCTGACAAATTTAAGATTATCATAATTGTTCGAGAAAAAACTTTCAGTTCATGGGCTTATATAATATATAATATGAAATAATTTGGGGATTCATTTGCCCGCTGTGTTGTAAACGGAATGGGGGGGGGGGGGGGGGGGGGACGGGATATTCTGTTTACAAAATAAATTCAGTTACAATTTTTGTCCATTTTTGTCCATGCGGTACCCTATTTTCTGAGGATGGACAAAATTGTAGGAACAAAAAACATGATCCCTTTAATACTAACATCTTCCTGAAACCAATAATACATATTACATACACTGATGACTAATATAGACAAACAGATCCGAAATAGTAAATACAACGGATAATGTACTCGATGATAATTCTTCTTCCTGTCGAAATAAAACGGTTACTGATAATCGTAAAAGTGTCAGAAGTGGGATTTGAACCCACGCCCACATTCGTGGACCAGAATGCTCCTTCGTGTGAAGACAAGATATTATCTCTTGAGTCTGGCGCCTTAGACCACTCGGCCATCCTGACATGTTCTTTACACGTAAATAGCAGTTATATTATCTCTCATTAGTGTTAAATCTCACATGACGTAGTGTTAAACAATGTGAACTTATCATGATATTTTGTAATGTAACACTTTTAGTTTTGCATTCCAAGATAGGGTAGTAGCAGGAAGTTGCTAGCAGTGGGGTTTGAACCAATAATACCAGAATACTTCCATACAGATAGTCTAGAGTGTGCCGTCTTATACCACTCGGCTATCCTGGCATCAAGCCATAAAGTAATTTAACTGTATATTATGTTAAAATGCATTGTTAAAATAAATTGTTAAAATGCATTATTAAAATCTTCGTTAAAAAGCATATCATGTATGAAGTTTGAACTTTTTCTATGAAAACTACTCAGATTCATAAAATTGACTGGTAATTACTGTACATTACTGAATATTATGAATACTTCGTGTAGTGTTACAACAATTCAAATCCCAATTCTGACAATTTTAAGATTATCATAAATGTTCAAGAAAAAATCTTTCAATTCATGGGCTTATATTGATGCTTTTTTCATACAAAGCTTATTTGGGGGGATTGCACTCATTGCGGTCTGTTTGGACTGCAGCGAGACTTCATACTTTCATACGAAAATGTTATGCGTGTTTTCAAATATAATAGGCGGGTTTATACTATTGCATTTCCACTGCGATAGTGAAGTTACACTAGTAGGTATATGAAATTACGTAAACTTGGTATGTAAACTTTGGTATTGTGGTAGTGATAATTTAAGACACATTCATTATTAACACTGAACAACAGTTTGGTAGGAAACCTTCCCGAGACCACTCATATTATATATTTACATGATATTGTTATTTTACTAATTATTACTAATTATTACAAATTATTACAAATTATTACAAATTATTACAAATTATTACAAATTATTACAAATTATTACAAATTATTACTAATTATTACTAATTATTACTAATTATTACTAATTATTACTAATTATAATGTTCTCAGAGTAAAGGAAATGGTAGGTAAGCCCACACTGAACGAGCTAGCGAGGATAACAGAGATATTTGACACACTTGATATCGTTAATATCACTATTTGCGAACAGAGTGAGTTATTATGATATCGTTAATATCACTATTTGCGAACAGAGTGAGTTACTATGATATTATTTTAGTGATAATTATAATTAAAATATTATTTATGTGATAATTTATTTCATATACACATCGCTTCAACATATTTGCTCTTTTCATGTATCTTTACCTCTATGTTACATTTGCAACTCTATATTATTATAACAGAAAAATAAGCAAATTCCAATTAATTATATTCCACCAATTAAAGCATCTAGTTCAGTTGTGATTTACCTTCTTCCTTGTTATCTATTGCTACTCTAAAGTTAACTACTATAAAGTAAACCCCCCCCCCCCCCCCCCCTCAGGCGCTAAGTTGGAGGCAGATAAGAAGCAGGCGAGCACGTCCTGGTTCGGCGGGTGGTGGGGAGGCGGTACTAGTAGATCTGCAACTAGTGTTGTGGACAAGTTCGGGATGAGCACCGAGGAGAAGGATACACTTTATAGCGCTATAGGTAGGTGTTTACTGTAAACTGTATACAGTATACTGTGCACTATAGGTAGGTGCAAATAATTAGTAATTATTAAAAAGCCGAAACTAGCGAGTCACAAGCGGGTTGCCTCGAGATACTTCGTTTTCATCAATCACATTCTGCTACACAGTAACAACCTGCTATTACCCTGCTACTAAAGTATGCCATTACCCTGCACCTGCTATTACTGTATACTGTATACTGTGTACTGTGTACTGTGTACTGTGTACTGTGTACTGTGTACTGTGTACTATGTACTGTATACTGTATACAGTATACAGTATACAGTATACAGTATACTGTATACTGTATACAGTGTATACTGTATACTGTATACTGTGTGTTATTCCAATCACCCCATCAATCTGAATGTGTGTTACTACAGTGTACACCCTTTCTCATGAGATGACGTGTGTTAAGTGCTATAAAGCTATAATTCTGTTCTTACAGATTATTTTAAGCTTCAAGTTCATTTATCATGATTATATTCACATTTAATAAGATTACATTATTTAATATATTATACGGGTAACACTGATTACTGTTGTTTGAGTATGAAAGAGAGGGAGAGAGGGAGAGGAACCTTACTTGCAGATTAGTGACTGTTAATCAGCAGAATTATTAATTTTACAAGTTGTGTGACACTATTATGTTAATATAATTAATTATGTAACAACATGACATAATGAATGCTATAACCGCAGAACAAAGTGAAGCAGCAGCCTCCAGTCAGATTTACCCGGAGAAATATGTGAAGTTCAGACTGAAGCTGGACGTAGATAAAGTATCCTTCAAACTGAATGATGATATCAGGGTTATAACTGAGGTAGGTGCTCTGGTGCTGATGCTTTAAGGTAGGTACTGATGCTTTAAGGTAGTTACACTAGCCCCTTCCCTCCCCTCCCCCTCCCTCCTCCCCCTCCCCCTCCCTCCTCCCCTTCCCCCTCCCCCTCCCCCTCCCTCCTCCCCCTCCCCCTCCCTCCTCCCCTCCCCCTCCCCCTCCCCCTCCCCCTCCCCCTCCCCCTCCCCCTCCCCCTCCCTCCTCCCCCTCCCCCTCCCCCTCCCCCTCCCCCTCCCCCTCCCCCTCCCCCTCCCCCTCCCCCTTACGCAGAACAATACGGTTATAATACCTTTTGTTCGTGATACAAATATTACAAAAACAATGTGCATTCCACATATATCATATATTATGTGCATACCTTGATACATGTTATAATATATGTAATAATATATATATATATAATGACTAATGATATATTATATTATAATGTGTAATGATACCGTGAGAACAGCAGGTATTACACAGGACTAACCCGTGCTTACTTGAGATTACTACTTTACTAGTATAGATGGCACATAAGTCAGTGTGCAAATGTTTGGGTTATAACATGTTTGAGACTTGTAAAATTACAAATACTGTTCCTACTCAAACTTTCAACATTAAATTGCTTATACCCGTTCTGGGAAACAAGCTAGAAGCTCCAATTTTGCATTAGTATCTTGCTGAAATTTTGGGTCGACGTCGGACTGTTTTGAATAGCTCATTAATAAATTGTTTTGAAACGAAAGAACCACTACACTCTGCTACTAGAGAACCATATTACACAATAGCATAATATTAATTAACTCAACCTTAAGATAGGAAGGTGCCTGTATTATTGCTTTATACCCCCAGGCTGCAGTTAAAGGAATAACGAGTGAAGTGGGTATAATACCTAACAATAACGGTATAGTGTTGTCCTATCAGATACACACTGTTTACGTGCTATCAGATAAGGTGGACATTCTCATACCTTCAGATTCTCATGCTATTGGTGAGTACACTATACATAGTACACTATACATAGTACACTATACATAGTACATTATACACAGTACACTATACACATTCTCATACCTTCAGATTCTCATGCTATTGGTGAGTACACTATACATAGTACACTATACATAGTACATTATACACAGTACACTATACACATTCTCATACCTTCAGATTCTCATGCTATTGGTGAGTACACTATACATAGTACACTATACATAGTACATTATACACAGTACACTATACACATTCTCATACCTTCAGATTCTCATGCTATTGGTGAGTACACTATACATAGTACACTATACATACTACATTATACACAGTACACTATACACATTCTCATACCTTCAGATTCTCATGCTATTGGTGAGTACACTATACATAGTACACTATACATACTACATTATACACAGTATACTATACACATTCTCATACCTTCAAATTCTCATGCTATTGGTGAGTACACTATACATAGTACACTATACATAATACATTATACACAGTACACTATACACATTCTCATACCTTCAGATTCTCATGCTATTGGTGAGGAAGCTTATTATATTATTATTTTATATCAGGGGTACCATTCACTATTCAGGTGCCTTGAAAATCGTGAATTGTAAATTTATAGATTTTTATTGCAAAATTATACATACAAATTAAGAAAATAAGCGATTAAACTGAATGGTACCCCGGTATTACTGTAAATCCTTGTTTTTAATTACATATTTTCTAAATATACAGGGTGTTTCAAAAGTTCTGCAAGGACGTACTTTTTGAATAACTTTTAATCCATTAATTGCCTTAACCTAATTCTGTAAAAAGTTATTGGTACTTCTAAGGTTTAATGGTACATTGGTATATCATATAATTATTGTTATGTAATATATTTTAGATAATATGTAAATTTAATACCAGGTTCGCACCGCACTTCAGAGACTTATAAGTTTCTCCAAGGTTATATTCTGTAGCTGTTGTTTTATCAATACAATGTAGTACAATGTAGTATAATGTGTACAATGTGTACAATGTAGTACAATGTGTACAATGAGTACACTGATCTTCTAAATCAGAGAAATATTACCAATTTGTAAAGCTATTTGTTTTCATTGATTCTTGTCTGCTAGGATAAAAACTTTGATCGGTGTTAAAACAATAAAATGCACTTCTTATTTAAAGAAATTAAGTGATCGAGTAATTAATAGATTTAATGAGTTAAACTGAAAATATTCACATTTCTTATTTTGTGTTTTGATATTTTCAACTAAATATATACACAGTACACTATACACAGTACACTATTCACAGTACACTATACACAGTACACTATACACTCTTATTCCAGTTCCTATATGTGAGGGCAGAGTGCTGATAAACCCTACTGACAACCCGGCTGACATTGCCATTCTCTCCAAATTCTCCTCTGTCACTCTACTCTTCGACATGGTAAGTGTTTTAACCAATCAGAACACAGTACTAGTACCACAAGACATAAACCAACCAATCAGAACACAGTCCCAGTACCACAAGACATAAACCAACCAATCAGAACACAGTCCCAGTACCACGTGACATAAACCAACCAGTCAGAACACAGTACTAGTACCACGTGATTCTAATCATAATAAAAAGTGAGATCTCCTGATTTGCTGGTTTGTGTCTTGTCTTACTACGCTTACATTTGGGATATCTGATATTCAACTCCACGACCAAAGTAGCACGTGCAATATTAACACTGGAGTAACACGTACAATATTAACACTGGAGTAGCACGTGCAATAGTAACACTGGAGTAACACGTACAATATTAACACTGGAGTAACACGTGCAATATTAACACTGGAGTAACACGTACAATATTAACACTGGAGTAACACGTGCAATATTAACAAAGGAGTAACACGTGCAATATTAACACTGGAGTAACACGTGCGAGTAAAGAATTACATTGTAGAAGGGATGATCCCAGTACCGAGTCAATTACTTTACTTGTGCTAGAGAACTGCACTGAGAAGTTAGTTTCTAACTCGGACACCTGTTATAATGTAGTAATGTGCACTGTTACATTTCCCCCCCCCCGTACTGTTACATTGCCCCCCCCCCCGTACTGTTACATTGCCCCCCCCCCGTACTGTTACAATGCCCCCCCCCCCCGTACTGTTACATTGCCCCCCGTACTGTTACATTGCCCCCCCCCCCCCGTACTGTTACATTGCCCCCCCGTACTGTTACAATGCCCCCCCCCCCCCGTACTGTTACATTGCCCCCCCCCGTACTGTTACATTGCCCCCCCCCCCCCCCGTACTGTTACAATGCCCCCCCCCCCCCCCGTACTGTTACATTGCCCCCCGTACTGTTACATTGCCCCCCCCCCCGTACTGTTACATTGCCCCCCCGTACTGTTACAATGCCCCCCCCCCCGTACTGTTACATTGCCCCCCCCCCCCGTACTGTTACATTGCCCCCCCCCCCCGTACTGTTACAATGCCCCCCCCCCCCGTACTGTTACATTGCCCCCCGTACTGTTACATTGGCCCCCCGTACTGTTACAATGCCCCCCCCCCGTACTGTTACATTGCCCCCCCCCCCCGTACTGTTACATTGGCCCCCCGTACTGTTACAATGCCTTCCCCCCGTACTGTTACATTGCCCCCCCCCCCCCCCCCCGTACTGTTACATTGCCCCCGTACTGTTACATTGCCCCCCCCCCCCCCCCCCGTACTGTTACATTGCCCCCCGTACTGTTACATTGCCCCCCCCCCCCGTACTGTTACCTGATACTAAGTGAAGAGTGAGTAAGTGGTAGACTATAAAATTATACTGCAGACACACTCTGTTAGAGTAGACACACTCTGTATATCAAACATTACACACATCTCTCCTTTTGTGTATACTCAGCTTTTACATATCAAATTTCACAAAACGTTAACACAAGTATTTGTGTAATAACGTTTAATCCACACAGCGGTCACTTGTTATAATAAGTATTATAGTAGTTTTACTAGAAACCAGTTGTTATAATATAATAGTGGGGGGCCGGGGGGGGGGGGGGCCGGGGGGGGGGAGTATTTCATTGAATTGAATTATGGAACTCTATACCACTGTTATCATTCTAATTTAAACCATAATTTTAGTTAATTAGTGTAAATTAATAAGCTTACCATTTCAGAACCTAATAAACTCTATCCTGGATTTCACTAAGACAGAGAAAGAGTTAACTGACTTTGCTGAACTGCGTAAGAATATCAACTACTACTCTGATAGGTTGAAAGTGCAGGGCAAGTCGGGGCTGCTGTACGCTATAGAGAAACGCAAGGTATGTATTGTCTGTTATTGGATCAATTATGTAAATTATTTTAAGTTAGCAGGAAAAGTGGCACGTGTTCCCTGTCTGCTGGAATTAGTTAGCAGGATAATTTATAATTAATTAAAGTTAATACATTCAATTCATAGTCTAGCTGGGGCAGGAGGGTCTAGGTTCTGGTTACCACGGTTACCACGGTTACCACGGTTACCACAGTTACCACGGTTACCACAGTTACCACGGTTACCACGGTTACCGAATTATGTAATAACTAATAATTAATTCCAATCAGCCATTACAGTTAATTATGACAATATAATATGTAACTAATAATCATGTCTACCCAGGTAGTGGACGTTAACGTTACCTTATCAGCCCCTAAAGTTATTATACCTGAGAGTGGGAAATTAGAGGAGAATGGACCTCTTATTGTAGCGGATCTGGGGCGCCTTATTCTAACTACAGAGGTATGTAGGACACGTGTAACAGCACGTGCAAGAACACGTGTAACAGCACGTGCAACAACACGTGCAACAGCACGTGCAACAACACGTGTCCCTTTATAACACGTGATGTTACTGTTTGTAGTCACGTGGTAATATTATATAGTTAGAGTTTTTCCATTTCACCCTTTTGTAAAAAGGCATTAGTGAAAGGTTACGAATGGTCGTTTTTGCAGAAAAACAAGGATTTTGGAGATAGCGGTAGGCAGGTCTGAATATGGTGTCATTCCTTCCGTTAGTTACCACTAGAAGGAACCCGTATAACCCTAAAATGGTGTCAAGACTCAAGAGACTAAAATAATTATTATATATATATATTATATATTTTATTATATATATATATTATATATTTAATTCGCGTTTTTGACACCACTTGGGGGTCCAAATTTGGGGCTCTAAAACTTCTATTTCTTGGCCAATTTTTATTTTTTCATGCTGATTTGAAGGCCATTAAAGCATTTGGCCCAGTCAAAAAAGTTTCAGTTGTATATCTTTTACGGTTTTTGCGGAAAGTAGCGTTAAAGTTCAGTAAAATGGCACGGATAAACATATATCGTCGCGCTTTATATATAGTAAGATGTCAACGGAAAAGCCACGCGCGTGCGCGAGGATTGCTTGGAATGCGCGGCTCGAGCGTATTTTAATGTATACTATGTTTAATGTATAGTATTAGGTAATAAGCCCAATTTGTACGTGGCCAATTTTGTACTTGGTACGCGTAGTGAACTGATGTGTTTCAATATTATTATTATGAAGTGAGCTGATTAGAGCTTATACAGTATTTATAGTTATAGGAAATGGAAATCTAGCGTCCGCCAAAAAGAAACACGGGTGCAATTCTTGTTAAAATGCGATTTGTAATTGTTATTACGTTAAATCTATACTGCAGCACAGAAAAGTGAAGTTGACCCGTGCTTTCCATTAGTGAAATGTGAAAATACTACGGGGATCCTGAAGGTCTCACAAACAAGAACTATTGTATTACTAACTACAAGACATTACTACAACTAACCGTTACTTCAGGTGGGGGAGACTAGATCTCCTAAAGAGTTGTTAGCAATGTCACTAGCTGAGTTAGAAGAAGCTGCCTACGATAATTACCTGCTCAATCTTGAAAACTTCTACGTTAAAATGTTCAACAATAAGGTACATTAAATAAAACTAAATTTAATATTATTAGTAACTGTTGTTATACTGATCGCTTGTTTAAACTCAATCTAATAAAATCTTTAACCCTGAATCTTTAACCCCGGTCTAAGAACATGTCTGTCTGCACATTCCCATAGTTACTAGTGGTTACTAGTGGTTACCAGTGGTTACTAGTGCGTGGTTACTAGTGGTTACTAGTGGTTACAAGTTGTTACTAGTGGTTACTAGTGGTTACTAGTGGTTACTAGTGGTTAACATTCCCATGAACAAGAGTAATTATAGGAAGATTGGGAGAACGATCTAGCAATAACACACGACTCCTTTATACTCTACCCTGTACGACTCAATATAAATCTGTCTAACTCTATCCTGCCTGACGATAAGAAGCTACCTAAAACCAAGTGCCGGGGACATCTGGACTCTGTTAAAGTTGTAATGTCAGATGTGAAGATTCAGCATTTGTATAGGTTAGGGTTATTTAGTTTAGAGTCATTGTGTGTAGAATTGCTTTATTTCACATTTTCTCAATTAGAGAATAGTTAAAGCGATTGAGAAAGTATTATTACAATATTGATAAAAGTAGCAGAAAACTCTTACTCGATAATAGACTGGTGCAGTCCGTAGATTGCGTGATGGTTGTGAAGATGCCAACTTCTAAACCTCTCAATAGGTTCAATAGGTAGGTAGTATAATTACTAACAGTACACAGTACACAGTACACAGTACACAGTACACAGTACACAGTACACAGTACACAGTACACAGTACACAGTACACAGTACACAGTACACAGTACACAGTACACAGTACACAGTACACAGTATAACAATTGCACTGCCCAGGATAATAAACAGTTTACCAAAGTCGGAGCCAGCTGAAGTTAAGAGTAAAAACTCAGTGGTAGGACTAGATGATAACTGGGTAGACGCAGCTCAACTAGCTGCTGTTACTAATATAGTTACAGGTCAGAATGTTATTATAATGCAAGTTATATCAACAATTCCTGTAATGCTAGCACTAAACATCGTGATACCATTTAAATTCCTTTATTTCTGGCAGCATTCTAAAGAAGTGAAGTCATTGTGAAGATGATAAACAATATAGCTAGATTATGTAGGTGTGCAAAAGGGTGTTTTCTAAAGAAACACTTAGCTTGTCCTCCTGTAGATCTGTAGATCTCTAGAAGAGGTATAGCAATTAATAACAAAGCAGAATGTGTTCAATGCGGGCTCAGCTGAGTTTACTTCCAGCTACCACTAGTTTACGAGACATTTATAAAATGAAAGTAGCGCGCGGCGCAATGTCAGCACCTCATCACGCGAGTAAAAACCGCGCGGCGCCATGTGTGAAATGAATATTTTCATGAGGCTAGCTTCCGCAACAAGCGCAATTTATTACAGCTTCTGTGAAAATATTCGTATGAAAGGTTTTTCTTAAGGAATGTGTCGTCCATATTCCCATGAAACATCGGAAAAAGTTGTCCGATTGAAACTGATCAGGGAGTTAATTCCCAGCTTCTCCTATTATTACCCTGACTGTGTGGAAATCATGGTTAGCACCTTCACAAAACTTTCACTGAATTTCAGAGTCGCGCAGGAACTACAGACTAAAGAAGTTGAAACCTTGTGTTTCCTTTTCTGACAATACCCAATCTTCTGACCGACCGACTACTGACTCCTCGACTCACAAATCTGGGTCTGAGAAGAAACTTGTGAAAGGGATCCTAAAAAGTAACACAATTCAAAATCTAATACACCCGCTCCTTGAGCAAAGCTATTATGACAATTAGAAAATAAATTAGTGTTAACTCCCGTCTCCCTCCTTGAACAATCAATTTAGAAATGTTCACAGTTCCAACATTAAAACACCTAGTACTGACTATTTAATCCCAGGGAAAGTGTCCACACCCTCCGAAAATGCCAAATCCCCATTATCTGCTGTTTCCATCTCAACTGAGGCTTCCGACGATTTCTTTGACGCTCCAGACCACTTTTTAGTGGAGGAGGATGGACTGATAACAGAGGTATTTGTTTTGTGACTGATAACAGTTTTAAAAGAGCAAAAATTAGAAACTAATAGCGATTTTTACTGGTTCATTTATTTTGTATCTGTTGTGACGGAAAATAAATAAAGTATTCCTGGATTTACATTGAAAATGTATTTTTCAGAGGGAATCTCTGAATATAATCAGTCAGACAGTGCTTCTAGCAGACTTTACACTAAACGTTATTGTATTAGACGTCGTAAAACAAAGTGAGTTATCTGCTGTTATAACGTTAGGGGGGGGGGGGGGGGGGGGGCACCATTAAATGTCACCCCGACCCTGAAAATGCCCGAATGTCGATGAAATTTTGCTACGAATTTCGAAGCTTTTTGATTAAGAGATTTAATGTGATAAACATTGTTATTTATTTCAGGTCGTTACGAAGGGAAAGTAGTGTTGAAGTAAACATTGTTAAGGTGTTATTTATTTCAGGTCGTTACGAAGGGAAGGTAGTGTTGAAGTAAACATTGTTAAGGTGTTATTTATTTCAGGTCGTTACGAAGGGAAAGTAGTGTTGAAGTAAACATTGTTAAGGTGTTATTTATTTCAGGTCGTTACGAAGGGAAGGTAGTGTTGAAGTAAACATTGTTATTTATTTCAGGTCGTTACGAAGGGAAGGTAGTGTTGAAGTAAACATTGTTATTTATTTCAGGTCGTTACGAAGGGAAGGTAGTGTTGAAGTAAACATTGTTATTTATTTCAGGTCGTTACGAAGGGAAGGTAGTGTTGAAGTAAACATTGTTATTTATTTCAGGTCGTTACGAAGGGAAGGTAGTGTTGAAGTAAACATTGTTAAGGTGTTATTTATTTCAGGTCGTTACGAAAGGAAGGTAGTGTTGAAGTAAACATTGTTATTTATTTCAGGTCGTTACGAAGGGAAGGTAGTGTTGAAGTAAACATTGTTATTTATTTCAGGTCGTTACGAAGGGAAGGTAGTGTTGAAGTAAACATTGTTATTTATTTCAGGTCGTTACGAAGGGAAGGTAGTGTTGAAGTAAACATTGTTATTTATTTCAGGTCGTTACGAAGGGAAGGTAGTGTTGAAGTAAACATTGTTATTTATTTCAGGTCGTTACGAAGGGAAGGTAGTGTTGAAGTAAACATTGTTATTTATTTCAGGTCGTTACGAAGGGAAGGTAGTGTTGAAGTAAACATTGTTATTTATTTCAGGTCGTTACGAAGGGAAGGTAGTGTTGAAGTAAACATTGTTATTTATTTCAGGTCGTTACGAAGGGAAGGTAGTGTTGAAGTAAACATTGTTATTTATTTCAGGTCGTTACGAAGGGAAGGTAGTGTTGAAGTAAACATTGTTATTTATTTCAGGTCGTTACGAAGGGAAGGTAGTGTTGAAGTAAACATTGTTATTTATTTCAGGTCGTTACGAAGGGAAGGTAGTGTTGAAGTAAACATTGTTATTTATTTCAGGTCGTTACGAAGGGAAGGTAGTGTTGAAGTAAACATTGTTGTTTATTTCAGGTCGTTACGAAGGGAAAGTAGTGTTGAAGTAAACATTGTTAAGGTGTTATTTATTTCAGGTCGTTACGAAGGGAAGGTAGTGTTGAAGTAAACATTGTTATTTATTTCAGGTCGTTACGAAGGGAAAGTAGTGTTGAAGTAAACATTGTTATTTATTTCAGGTCGTTACGAAGGGAAAGTAGTGTTGAAGTAAACATTGTTATTTATTTCAGGTCGTTACGAAGGGAAAGTAGTGTTGAAGTAAACATTGTTAAGGTGTTATTTATTTCAGGTCGTTACGAAGGGAAGGTAGTGTTGAAGTAAACATTGTTAAGGTGTTATTTATTTCAGGTCGTTACGAAGGGAAGGTAGTGTTGAAGTAAACATTGTTATTTATTTCAGGTCGTTACGAAGGGAAGGTAGTGTTGAAGTAAACATTGTTATTTATTTCAGGTCGTTACGAAGGGAAGGTAGTGTTGAAGTAAACATTGTTATTTATTTCAGGTCGTTACGAAGGGAAGGTAGTGTTGAAGTAAACATTGTTGTTTATTTCAGGTCGTTACGAAGGGAAAGTAGTGTTGAAGTAAACATTGTTAAGGTGTTGTTTTATTTCAGGTCGTTACGAAGGGAAAGTAGTATTGAAGTAAACATTGTTATTTATTTCAGGTCGTTACGAAGGGAAGGTAGTGTTGAAGTAAACATTGTTCAGGTGTTATTTATTTCAGGTCGTTACGAAGGGAAGGTAGTGTTGAAGTAAACATTGTTATTTATTTCAGGTCGTTACGAAGGGAAGGTAGTGTTGAAGTAAACATTGTTAAGGTGTTATTTATTTCAGGTCGTTACGAAGGGAAGGTAGTGTTGAAGTAAACATTGTTAAGGTGTTATTTATTTCAGGTCGTTACGAAGGGAAGGTAGTGTTGAAGTAAACATTGTTAAGGTGTTATTTATTTCAGGTCGTTACGAAGGGAAGGTAGTGTTGAAGTCCCTAATAAAGAATATCACAGCAACCTTTGTTAAAACAACCTGGATGCAGAAAATAGAGGCCTCTCTGGGGGAGATTACCATGCTGGATTGTTTTACTTCTGAGGAACCCTTACATCTCATATCATCCCCTCCTGACGGTTAGTTACTAGTGGTTACTAGTGGTTACTAGTGGTTACTAGTGGTTACTAGTGGTTACTAGTGGTTACTAGTGGTTACATCTCATATCATCCCCTCCTGCCGGTTAGTTACTAGTGGTTACTAGTGGTTACTAGTGGTTACTAGTGGTTACTAGTGGTTACTAGTGGTTACTAGTGGTTACTAGTGGTTAAATCTCATATCATCCCCCCTGACGGTTAGTTACTAGTGGTTACTAGTGGTTACTAGTGGTTACTAGTGGTTACTAGTGGTTACTAGTGGTTACTAGTGGTTACTAGTGGTTACTAGTGGTTACATCTCATATCATCCCCCCTGACGGTTAGTTACTAGTGGTTACTAGTGGTTACTAGTGGTTACCATTGGTTAATTTTGGTTACTAGTGAACTTTTGTTACAGCGGTAACTATGACGTCACTATGCGTTGTGATGACGTAATGTTCAGGTAAACTGATCTCAATAGCAGCCCAGATGAATGACCCCACTTCACCTTACTTTGAGAACGACTTTAAGAACACGGAGATTGCAGTTCTGGGCACATTCGACCAGATATCGGCTAAAATACACGTCGACTCTTTTTGTAACATCTACGAGTTTGGTGAGTGGTTACTAGTGGTTACTGGTGGTTACTAGTGGTTACTAGTGGTAACTAGTGGTTACAAGTGGTTACTAGTGGTTACTGGTGGTTACTAGTGGTTACTGGTTACTAGTGGTTACTTAACTTTATATATAAACACCTCCGGACTACTGCTCTCTATACGTTTAACAAATTATAGTAGTAGTAAATCTTTCAAAGTACGAAATATCTCTTTAAAAGAGCATCCTAGGCACCTTATAGATATCAAAACGCATAAAAAAGAAAACAAAAACATCAACCATCTTCTAACTTCTTCCACTCCTCCCTATCTAAAGCTAAAAATCTAAGGTCTTCGAAATCAGTCAAATTCTTAAGTCTAATATCAAGATTTATCAAATTATAGTGAGATAAAAAAATAACAACCGAATCAACTAATTGTTTCTAAACTATGATAAACCGTTAATACCTTAATAAAACCCAAATTCAAAATATTAAATAAATAATTTGTAGCAATGTCCGTGCTGCCCCAGTCAAGTGAGGAAGTATCTGGACTAGAGGAGAAGGAGGAGGAGAAGAGTGGGGCTGGTGGGGAAATGAAGAGGTACTCTTCTGATGAGAGCATTAATGAGGATCTTATCAAGGTAACTAATGGTTACTAGTGGTTACTAGTGGTTACTAATGGTTCCTACTTCCTAGTGGTTACTAGTGGTTACTAGTGGTTACTAATGGTTACTAGTGGTTACTAATGGTTACTAGTGGTTATTACTTTATTAGTGGTTACTAAAGTTTACTATAAGGTATTAATAGTTCAAACTGAAACTCCTTTTAATGTTTTTGCACAACAAGAGTAGGAAATAATAAAACGACTTGTCGAACACATCAGTTCCAAGTAGAAAACATTTCTACTGTTTAAAAAGTGTCGTTACAGATTCACGTGGCTGCCGTAGTGAACAACATTAACATAATCGTAGACAGCAGTCAGAGGACATATGCAGACATATCCATTACTAGTTGTAATGCAGAGGTTAGTGGGTATTTAATATAGTAATATACTAGTTACATACTAGTAATATTCAATGTTAATTACTTATGATTTTTAATTTAAATAACTTACTTACTTTAGGTATAATAGGGTATAATAAGATAATAGTATAATGACGTCTCGTGGTATTACAATGACGTCACGTGGTATTATAATGACGTCACGTGGTATTGCAATGCCGTCACGTGGTATTACAATGACGTCACGTGGTATTACAATGACGTCACGTGGTATTACAATGACGTCATGTGGTATTACAATGACGTCACGTGGTATTACAATGACGTCACGTGGTATTACAATGACGTCATGTGGTATTACAATGACGTCACGTGGTATTACAATGACGTCACGTGGTATTACAATGACGTCACGTGGTATTACAATGACGTCACGTGGTATTACAATGACGTCACGTGGTATTACAATGACGTCATGTGGTATTACAATGACGTCACGTGGTATTACAATGACGTCACGTGGTATTGCAATGCCGTCACGTGGTATTACAATGACGTCACGTGGTATTAAAATGACGTCACGTGGTATTACAATGACGTCACGTGGTATTACAATGACGTCATGTGGTATTACAATGACGTCACGTGGTATTGCAATGACGTCACGTGGTATTGCAATGACGTCACGTGGTATTGCAATGACGTCACGTGGTATTACAATGACGTCACGTGGTATTGCAATGCCGTCACGTGGTATTGCAATGACGTCACGTGGTATTACAATGACGTCACGTGGTATTACAATGACGTCATGTGGTATTACAATGACGTCACGTGGTATTACAATGACGTCACGTGGTATTACAATGACGTCACGTGGTATTACAATGACGTCACGTGGTATTACAATGACGTCACGTGGTATTACAATGACGTCACGTGGTATTACAATGACGTCACGTGGTATTACAATGACGTCACGTGGTATTACAATGACGTCACGTGGTATTACAATGACGTCACGTGGTATTACAATGACGTCACGTGGTATTACAATGACGTCACGTGGTATTACAATGACGTCACGTGGTATTACAATGACGTCACGTGGTATTACAATGACGTCACGTGGTATTACAATGACGTCACGTGGTATTACAATGACGTCACGTGGTATTACAATGACGTCACGTGGTATTACAATGACGTCACATGATAACTACAGGTGATAGTAAAGGAGAACACTACAGAAGTGAACAGCTCTCTCAAGTCACTAGATGTTAAGCAGCCTTCCAGTCACATTACCTACAACAATATACTCACTGTGGAGAGCAGTATCTACCAGGAGCTTATCTCATTCCAGATGGTGTGTAGTTTTAAACAGTGTAACCATGGTTACCGTGCAAAGTTCTAATTGATTACCCTAGTTAATTAACTAATTACTATTTATTTCAATGTTTGGGAATGAAACTCTTGGACCATGTTACCATGGTTACCTCTCCTCTATCAGATACAGTACCAGAAGAAGTTAGGGGAACTAGACCCCGACATGGAACTGAACATTAAGATGGGATCTCTTCATTTTATATTCCTCAACTATTTCGTACAGGTACTGTGGGTTTAGAATATAATAACGTCATTTAAATGTAATGACGTCATTTAAATGTAATGACGTAACTTAATGACGTAACTGAATCTAGTGACGTCACTGTAATGACGTAACTTAATCACCAAACTGAATCTAGTGACGTCACTGTAATGACGTCACACAATACCTCCTCAGAACCTGCTGCACGTGCTGGACGTGTTTAGTGTTGCGCGAGATAAGATGGTATCTGCGAGTATAGAGACAGCTAAACTAGCGCAACAGTCCACCACTTCCTCACTGGTAGTGCTAAACCTGGAGGTGGAGAGCCCGGTAGTGAAGATACCGCGCAATTCTACCAGTGTAGAGGGGTACAAGGTTAAGTTGGGAAACATTAAACTGCAAAACAAGTTCTCCTTGACAAAGAAAAAGACTATAAAAGATGTTATCTCTATTGAACTGTCTCACATTGCCGTCTCCAGGTACGAAAACTTGCCCAACATTTCAAAAATGTTTCACTATTAAAATTATTTTCGATTAGTACTTTTCTTTTCTAGTTTTTAGCGGAAACTCGATATTGCCAGGCAACCCGTGATACTGACGTCACGTGGTATTATGATGACGTCACGTGGTATTATGATGACGTCACGTGGTATTATAATGACGTCACGTGGTATTTGAAGGATTCACGTGGTATTATGATTACGTCATGTGGTGTAATTAACTGTACATTTCAACAGGGTGATCCTGGGTAGCTACGGGGACGTTTTAAGAGAACGAGATATTTTAGAACCGTATGAGATGGAGCTGAAAATAACACGGTACCTCACTGAAGATGCTAATATCAGTGTTAATACCACACTTAAACAAATCCACGCTAATCTTGGTAAGATGCTAATATCAGTGTTAATACCACACTTAAACAAATCCACGCTAATCTTGGTAAGATGCTAATATCAGTGTTAATACCACACTTAAACAAATCCACGCTAATCTTGGTAATACGCTAATATCAGTGTTAATACCACACTTAAACAAATCCACGCTAATCTTGGTAAGATGCTAATATCAGTGTTAATACCACACTTAAACAAATCCACGCTAATCTTGGTAAGATGCTAATATCAGTGTTAATACCACACTTAAACAAATCCACGCTAATCTTGGTAAGATGCTAATATCAGTGTTTATACCACACTTAAACAAATCCACGCTAATCTTGGTAAGATGCTAATATCAGTGTTAATACCACACTTAAACAAATCCACGCTAATCTTGGTAAGATGCTAATATCAGTGTTAATACCACACTTAAACAAATCCACGCTAATCTTGGTAAGATGCTAATATCAGTGTTAATACCACACTTAAACAAATCCACGCTAATCTTGGTAAGATGCTAATATCAGTGTTAATACCACACTTAAACAAATCCACGCTAATCTTGGTAAGATGCTAATATCAGTGTTAATACCACACTTAAACAAATCCACGCTAATCTTGGTAAGATGCTAATATCAGTGTTAATACCACACTTAAACAAATCCACGCTAATCTTGGTAAGATGCTAATATCAGTGTTAATACCACACTTAAACAAATCCACGCTAATCTTGGTAAGATGCTAATATCAGTGTTAATACCACACTTAAACAAATCCACGCTAATCTTGGTAAGATGCTAATATCAGTGTTAATACCACACTTAAACAAATCCACGCTAATCTTGGTAAGATGCTAATATCAGTATTAATACCACACTTAAACAAATCCACGCTAATCTTGGTAAGATGCTAATATCAGTGTTAATACCACACTTAAACAAATCCACGCTAATCTTGGTAAGATGCTAATATCAGTGTTAATACCACACTTAAACAAATCCACGCTAATCTTGGTAAGATGCTAATATCAGTGTTAATACCACACTTAAACAAATCCACGCTAATCTTGGTAAGATGCTAATATCAGTGTTTATACCACACTTAAACAAATCCACGCTAATCTTGGTAAGATGCTAATATCAGTGTTAATACCACACTTAAACAAATCCACGCTAATCTTGGTAAGATGCTAATATCAGTGTTAATACCACACTTAAACAAATCCACGCTAATCTTGGTAAGATGCTAATATCAGTGTTAATACCACACTTAAACAAATCCACGCTAATCTTGGTAAGATGCTAATATCAGTGTTTATACCACACTTAAACAAATCCACGCTAATCTTGGTAAGATGCTAATATCAGTGTTAATACCACACTTAAACAAATCCACGCTAATCTTGGTAAGATGCTAATATCAGTGTTAATACCACACTTAAACAAATCCACGCTAATCTTGGTAAGATGCTAATATCAGTGTTAATACCACACTTAAACAAATCCACGCTAATCTTGGTAAGATGCTAATATCAGTGTTAATACCACACTTAAACAAATCCACGCTAATCTTGGTAAGATGCTAATATCAGTGTTAATACCACACTTAAACAAATCCACGCTAATCTTGGTAAGATGCTAATATCAGTGTTAATACCACACTTAAACAAATCCACGCTAATCTTGGTAAGATGCTAATATCAGTGTTAATACCACACTTAAACAAATCCACGCTAATCTTGGTAAGATGCTAATATCAGTGTTAATACCACACTTAAACAAATCCACGCTAATCTTGGTAAGATGCTAATATCAGTGTTAATACCACACTTAAACAAATCCACGCTAATCTTGGTAAGTTTTATTGCGGGGCTCAATACGTTGCGGCTCATTTCTCAGTCACTGAGTATCTTCAATCTTGCTAGTATCATTCATTCGAAGAATATATCAAATTAAATAACAATTATGTTCATTTTGAACGTTCATTTTTGTGGTTTAAGATATTTTGAATGATCGATATTTAAAAAAAGAGATATCATGATACGGTGTGATTAGTTCAACATTACAGGCTATGAAGACTATCACATGGCCTTGAAGATTTTGGAGGAAAACTTGGCGGAAACTGGAGACAGAGTTTTGGAAGTCACTCCGCAAGCAATCATCACTAATGATGAGGTAATAACGTAAAGTTAATAAGTTGAGGTAATAACTTAAAGTTAATAAGTTGAGGTAATAACGTTAAGTTAATAAGTTGAGGTAATAACGTTAAGTTAATAAGTTGAGGTAATAACGTAAAGTTAATAAGTTGAGGTAATAACTTAAAGTTAATAAGTTGAGGTAATAACGTTAAGTTAATAAGTTGAGGTAATAACGTTAAGTTAATAAGTTGAGGTAATAACGTAAAGTTAATAAGTTGAGGTAATAACGTTAAGTTAATAAGTTGAGGTAATAACGTTAAGTTAATAAGTTGAGGTAATAACGTTAAGTTAATAAGTTGAGGTAATAACGTTAAGTTAATAAGTTGAGGTAATAACGTAAAGTTAATAAGTTGAGGTAATAACGTTAAGTTAATAAGTTGAGGTAATAACGTTAAGTTAATAAGTTGAGGTAATAACGTTAATTTAATAATTTGGTTTAAAAAAATAAAAGTTTTAGATTAGTTGAGTGATTTGCCGCGTAGTTTGGGGATAAAAAGAACTGCGGTAAATCTTTACTAGTGGTATTAGTAGTAGTATTAGTGGTATTAGTAGCTTCTTAATAAAGTAACAAGATTAGTTGCTCACTATTAATAAGTTGGTTATTAGTTTAATATTAATACATGTAGTCTGAATTAATAGCTGATTACTCACTATTAATAAGTTGGTTATTAGTTTAATATTAACACATGTAGTCTGAATTAATAGCTGATTACTCATGCTCTGTTTGATCCCATTCCCTCACTAATTAAGATCGTACCGTTAATTTTTACATCAACTTTTACAAAGTATTTTCCACTGTTCGACTCAAAGATTACAATATTATCAAAAACTAAAATGTTCACAAATAAAGAGGTTGACAAATTAAACAAATTTTTATAATTCTGGTTTTTAAGTGACGTTACAAATGTATCCCATAGTTTTAACTTATTTTGTAAAACTATCTTTATAAATTTAAAACATAAGCCATGTACCCAAAAAGTAAACCATGCTGATCACTTTGTACTGTGTATATTACTTTCTTCTCACCGATCCTAAAAGACTAATTCCTCGTGGCATCACTGTTCCATCACTTAATATATACATAACTTGATCCTCTTGACAAACTCTTAATTCGAACAAACCAAACAAAAAAGGAAATTCTCAAAAGATTGTATTGTAAGAAATTAAAATAACTTATTTCAAATGCCTTCTAATTCTTTAACGTAGATGAAGTGTTAACAACAGTGTTAGTAGTGTTAACAGTTCAATAGTGTTAACAACAGTGTTAGTAGTGTTAACAACAGTGTTAGTAGTGTTAACAACACTAGTGTTAACAAAACTACAATTAAATAAGCTCCTGAGATCATCTTGCTGCAATAAACTGCACGTAGAGCCAATTTAGTTAAACACACCTCAATAATGTACCTGTTAATCAGTAAAATAATCTGACGATCACGTGTGTTGTCATGACATCACGTGTGTTGTCATGACATCACGTGTGTTGTCATGACGATCACGTGTGTTGTCATGACGTCACGTGTGTTGTCATGACATCACGTGTGTTGTCATGACATCACGTGTGTTGTTATGACATCACGTGTGTTGTTATGACGATCACGTGTGTTGTTATGACATCACGTGTGTTGTCATGACATCACGTGTGTTGTCATGACGATGACGTGTGTTGTCATGACATCACGTGTGTTGTTATGACATCACGTGTGTTGTTATGACATCACGTGTGTTGTTATGACATCACGTGATGACTGCTTCTGCTTACAATCTGATAAGCAGTGTGAAGCTGAGAAGGAGGAAACAGGACTCCACTACTGCGCTACTACTAGGAACTGTTGGTTCAGGTGTTTTTTCAGGTATATCTGAGGGAGAGGGTTGGTTTAAGATCGTAACCTACTTGGGGGCCGGGGGGGGGTTTAAATTTTTAATTATTTCGTCACGTGGTGTAATTGAGTGTAAGAACTTACCACACTTGGAACTGGATGATCCTGCCCCTGGACAGGCGGTACACTTCTCATTGTGAGCCTGGTCGCTGTAAGTGTCCGCTGGGCATATGGAGCACGTGTGGGCATCTAGCAGGAAGTTACCAGGTTCACAGCCTAGAGGGAGGGATTATTAGGGGGGTTACCAGGTTCACAGCCTGGAGGGAGGGATTATTAGGGGGTTACCAGGTTCACAGCCTGGAGGGAGGGATTATTAGGGGGGGGGGTTACCAGGTTCACAGTCTGGAGGGAGGGATTATTAGGGGGGTTACCAGGTTCACAGTCTGGAGGGAGGGATTATTAGGGAGGTTACCAGGTTCACAGCCTGGAGGGAGGGATTATTAGGGGGGTTACCAGGTTCACAGCCTGGAGGGAGGGATTATTAGGGGGGTTACCTGGTTCACAGTCTGGAGGGAGGGATTATTAGGGGGTTACCAGGTTCACAGCCTGGAGGGAGGGATTATTAGGGGGGGGGGGTTACCAGGTTCACAGCCTGGAGGGAGGGATTATTAGGGGGGTTACCAGGTTCACAGTCTGGAGGGAGGGATTATTAGGGAGGTTACCAGGTTCACAGCCTGGAGGGAGGGATTATTAGGGAGGTTACCAGGTTCACAGCCTGGAGGGAGGGATTATTAGGGAGGTTACCAGGTTCACAGCCTGGAGGGAGGGATTATTAGGGGGGGGGTTACCAGGTTCACAGCCTGGAGGGAGGGATTATTAGGGGGGTTACCAGGTTCACAGCCTGGGGGGAGGGATTATTAGGGAGGTAACCAGGTTCACAGTCTGGAGGGAGGGATTATTAGGGGGGGTTACCAGGTTCACAGCCTGGAGGGAGGGATTATTAGGGGGGGGGGGGGGGTTACCAGGTTCACAGCCTGGAGGGAGGGATTATTAGGGAGGTTACCAGGTTCACAGCCTGGAGGGAGGGATTATTAGGGGGGTTACCAGGTTCACAGTCTGGAGGGAGGGATTATTAGGGGGTTACCAGGTTCACAGCCTGGAGGGAGGGATTATTAGGGAGGTAACCAGGTTCACAGCCTGGAGGGAGGGATTATTAGGGGGGTTACCAGGTTCACAGTTTGGAGGAGGGATTATTAGGGGGGGGGTTACCAGGTTCACAGCCTGGAGGGAGGGATTATTAGGGGGGTTACCAGGTTCACAGCCTGGAGGGAGGGATTATTAGGGGGGTTACCAGGTTCACAGCCTGGAGGGAGGGATTATTAGGGGGGTTACCAGGTTCACAGCCTGGAGGGAGGGATTATTAGGGAGGTTACCAGGTTCACAGTCTGGAGGGAGGGATTATTAGGGAGGTTACCAGGTTCACAGCCTGGAGGGAGGGATTATTAGGGGGGTTACCAGGTTCACAGTCTGGAGGGAGGGATTATTAGGGGGGGGGGGGGTTACCAGGTTCACAGCCTGGAGGGAGGGATTATTAGGGAGGTTACCAGGTTCACAGCCTGGAGGGAGGGATTATTAGGGGGGGGTTACCAGGTTCACAGCCTGGAGGGAGGGATTATTAGGGGGGTTACCAGGTTCACAGCCTGGAGGGAGGGATTATTAGGGGGGTTACCAGGTTCACAGCCTGGAGGGAGGGATTATTAGGGGGGTTACCAGGTTCACAGCCTGGAGGGAGGGATTATTAGGGAGGTTACCAGGTTCACAGTCTGGAGGGAGGGATTATTAGGGGGGTTACCAGGTTCACAGCCTGGAGGGAGGGATTATTAGGGGGGTTACCAGGTTCACAGCCTGGAGGGAGGGATTATTAGGGGGGTTACCAGGTTCACAGCCTGGAGGGAGGGATTATTAGGGGGGTTACCAGGTTCACAGCCTGGAGGGAGGGATTATTAGGGAGGTTACCAGGTTCACAGTCTGGAGGGAGGGATTATTAGGGAGGTTACCAGGTTCACAGCCTGGAGGGAGGGATTATTAGGGGGGTTACCAGGTTCACAGCCTGGAGGGAGGGATTATTAGGGAGGTTACCAGGTTCACAGTCTGGAGGGAGGGATTATTAGGGGGGTTACCAGGTTCACAGCCTGGAGGGAGGGATTATTAGGGAGGTTACCAGGTTCACAGCCTGGAGGGAGGGATTATTAGGGGGGGTTACCAGGTTCACAGCCTGGAGGGAGGGATTATTAGGGGGGTTACCAGGTTCACAGTCTGGAGGGAGGGATTATTAGGGGGGGTTACCAGGTTCACAGTCTGGAGGGAGGGATTATTAGGGGGGTTACCAGGTTCACAGCCTGGAGGGAGGGATTATTAGGGGGGGGTTACCAGGTTCACAGCCTGGAGGGAGGGATTATTAGGGGGGTTACCAGGTTCACAGCCTGGAGGGAGGGATTATTAGGGGGGTTACCAGGTTCACAGCCTGGAGGGAGGGATTATTAGGGGCCGGGGGGGGGTTACCAGGTTCACAGCCTGGAGGGAGGGATTATTAGGGGGGTTACCAGGTTCACAGCCTGGAGGGAGGGATTATTAGGGGGGTTACCAGGTTCACAGTCTGGAGGGAGGGGTTATTAGGGGGTTACCTGGTTCACAGCCTGGAGGGAGGGATTATTAGGGGGGGGTTACCAGGTTCACAGCCTGGAGGGAGGGATTATTAGGGAGGTTACCAGGTTCACAGCCTGGAGGGAGGGATTATTAGGGGGGTTACCAGGTTCACAGCCTGGAGGGAGGGATTATTAGGGGGGGTTACCAGGTTCACAGCCTGGAGGGAGGGATTATTAGGGGGGTTACCAGGTTCACAGCCTGGAGGGAGGGATTATTAGGGGGGTTACCAGGTTCACAGCCTGGAGGGAGGGATTATTAGGGGGGTTACCAGGTTCACAGCCTGGAGGGAGGGATTATTAGGGGGTTACCAGGTTCACAGCCTGGAGGGAGGGATTATTAGGGGGGTTACCAGGTTCACAGCCTGGAGGGAGGGATTATTAGGGGGGGTTACCAGGTTCACAGCCTGGAGGGAGGGATTATTAGGGGGGTTACCAGGTTCACAGCCTGGAGGGAGGGATTATTAGGGGGGTTACCAGGTTCACAGCCTGGAGGGAGGGAATATTAGGGGGGGGGGGGGGGTTACCAGGTTCACAGCCTGGAGGGAGGGAATATTAGGGGGTTACCTGGTTCACAGTCTGGAGGGAGGGATTATTAGGGGGGGGGGTTACCAGGTTCACAGTCTCGAGGGAGGGATTATTAGGGAGGTTACCAGGTTCACAGCCTGGAGGGAGGGATTGTTAGGGGGGTTACCAGGTTCACAGCCTGGAGGGAGGGATTATTAGGGGGGGGTTACCAGGTTCACAGCCTGGAGGGAGGGATTATTAGGGGGGTTACCAGGTTCACAGCCTGGAGGGAGGGATTATTAGGGGGGTTACCAGGTTCACAGCCTGGAGGGAGGGAATATTAGGGGGGTTACCAGGTTCACAGCCTGGAGGGAGGGATTATTAGGGGGTTACCAGGTTCACAGCCTGGAGGGAGGGATTATTAGGGGGGTTACCAGGTTCACAGCCTGGAGGGAGGGATTATTAGGGGGGGTTACCAGGTTCACAGCCTGGAGGGAGGGATTATTAGGGGGGTTACCAGGTTCACAGCCTGGAGGGAGGGATTATTAGGGGGGTTACCAGGTTCACAGCCTGGAGGGAGGGAATATTAGGGGGGGGGGGGGGGTTACCAGGTTCACAGCCTGGAGGGAGGGATTATTAGGGCATATTTCAAAACTGGTTCCACTTGGAGGAAATTTTAGAAATGCTTTTATCAATCCAATTTTGGAAATTTTAGAATGTTTGAACTTTATACTTTGAAAATCTGCAATATTGGAGACATCAATCTACTCTATCATGCAAAAATAGCTCATTCTATCATCGACACTAAAACAATCCTCAAAAGTGTGCTCTACTTCATAACGTCTCTAGATTAGGCCTTTGCTTGAACTAAACCCAAATTTTGTGTGTTAGTATATGAGATTTCATTTTTACAGACTGATATAAAGCCCAATCAAGGAGAAAGAGCTAACATGGGGAAAATGTGGTTTTAAAAATTTTGTCACTCCGTAACAAAAAAGTGTAAAAAAGTTATCTATTCTCTTAACTACACGCCTATTCCATTCCATATTTTCTGAAGTATCTCAGCGACCTTACACTAAGATTTTCCAACATTTTCGATTGATAACATTATAATTTAAGAGGAGATATGATGAGCCAAACTTTGGTCACTCCGTAACGCTGTGTTACGGAGTGACAAATTCAAGGGACATTGTCACTCCGTAACGAATTTTTTTATTGTCATAAATACACCAAAGGAGTTTGCAACCTATGCAGACAGTCTTCTCAAGTCAATCAATGTCATGTATGTTGGAGATCTAGCCTCAGGTATGGAAGAGGAGTGCAGAAGGAAAGCAAGACCAGTTCCAGGAACCTTGAAAGTGCACCACATTGTCCGTTCTTTCAAAGATAACAGCTGCATCCTTACCTTTAGGGACACGTCAGTTGATGGATCTTTGATAAAGAAGAGTTTGCCGATGAATCATCTGCTCAGACGACTTCAACAACAGTTATTGGAGAGGAGGAAACACCATCATCTTCTAACAGCTGTGAAACTTACAACATTGATCAATTCGTGATTGTTAACTGGGAGGGTGAACTTTACCCAGGAGGGTAAACTTTACCCAGGAAAAGTTATTGGCAAGCCAGACAGCAGTAACCTTACCGTTAAGTGCCTTGTACCAGCTGGAAAACCTGGATCAATCTGGAAATGGCCTGACAAAGAGGACGTCCATGATTACGAACTTATTGACGTGAAAGGAGCTATTGGTATGCCGAAGCTTTTGCCGGGAACAGGGAGAAGAATAGAGTTTGAAGTACCTGAACTTGCTTATAAGTGGGGTGTAAAGGTTTAAATTTTCGTTAATCTGTGTACATTGTACAGTTTATAACTTTAAACAAATAAGCCCAGATTTTTAAACATTTCATTATGATATGTCACTCTGTAACAGATTCTTAACCGAGTAATATTTGTAGAAAGTTAAACCAATGAGACTGATTTTTATGCAGTTGTTTATATTTTTCAAACAGTGATTTAAATGTGCTGTATTTTAAGGGAAATTTACAGAGTTGTAAGCTCCAGGGTTGATTTTTTATCACATGATCGTATTTTTATTCATAATTGTGATCAAGACTTATATGAATTGTACCAGATTTGATTTATTTCACATCAATAAATTTGTGTGTCTACCTTGTTTAAGTGTTATCTATCTAATTTTGAAAAGAATTCTACTATTTAGAGCCAGGAACAGGATGAAAAATGATGAAAAATTCGAGTGGAATGAGAGACTGTTTGATGCGTCACTCCGTAACAGTCACTCCGTAACAATCCCCAACATTTTTAAAGCCTCAAATTTTTTATTCCTTTGGCAATACACACTTTTTCTTGATTAATTATTGAAGGAAAATGTCTGAAAAGTGCCTGGAAGCCGTCAAAATGCAACTTTCAAGAATATCTGAGATAAAAATTAGGTCAGAATATGGGTGTACCAAAATCTTAAAATTTATCTAGTCACTCCGTAACGAAATTTCGACTTTTAATTACTCAAAAACGGATTGATTTCTCACTATTTTCTTTGGCAGATATGTAAATCATAGGTTTGAAAAGCCTTAGAAACATAATTTAACCAATAATGAACCTGTTTTCTTGGACATTTTTCGGAAAAAATCGGTAAAATTGTCACACCGTAACATTCTATAGTTTTGAAATATGCCCATTAGGGGGGGTTACCAGGTTCACAGCCTGGAGGGAGGGATTGTTAGGGGGGTTACCAGGTTCACAGCCTGGAGGGAGGGATTATTAGGGGGTTACCAGGTTCACAGCCTGGAGGGAGGGATTATTAGGGGGGGTTACCAGGTTCACAGCCTGGAGGGAGGGAATATTAGGGGGGTTACCAGGTTCACAGCCTGGAGGGAGGGATTATTAGGGAGGTTACCAGGTTCACAGCCTGGAGGGAGGGATTATTAGGGGCCGTGGGGGGGGGGAGGTTCACAGTCTGGAGGGAGGGATTATTAGGGGCCGTGGGGGGGAGGGGGGTTCACAGTCTGGGGGGAGGGATTATTAGGGGGGTTACCAGGTTCACAGCCTGGAGGGAGGGATTATTAGGGGGTTACCTGGTTCACAGTCTCGAGGGAGGGATTATTAGGGAGGTTACCAGGTTCACAGCCTGGAGGGAGGGATTATTAGGGGAGGTAACCAGGTTCACAGCCTGGAGGGAGGGATTATTAGGGAGGTTACCAGGTTCACAGCCTGGAGAGAGGGATTATTAGGGGGGTTACCAGGTTCACAGCCTGGAGGGAGGGATTATTAGGGGGGTTACCAGGTTCACAGCCTGGAGGGAGGGATATTAGGGGAGGTAACCAGGTTCACAGCCTGGAGGGAGGGATTATTAGGGGGGTTACCAGGTTCACAGCCTGGAGGGAGGGATTATTAGGGGCCGTGGGGGGGAGGGGGGTTCACAGTCTGGGGGGAGGGATTATTAGGGGGGTTATCTTGGCATACACTTCTACTTTACTTTACAAGTTAACAGCAAATAGTGGGAATAGTTAGGCAGGAACATGTTTTGGACTTATAAACTTTTGTACCATGGTGACATTTTCCTTATTACATATCACCATGGTGATAATATCGTACACCATAATAAGCTAATGGATGTTACCATGGTGATAATATCGTACTTAGTGTTGTACAGTCGTTGCCAGGCAAGCTGCCAGGTTGTTTAGCGGATCCAGCAGGGCACTCCTCGCACTTAGTGTTGTGTACAGCGTCAGTACTGTAGTAGTTGTCAGCACAATCTTCACACTTGCCCTTGTTATCAAGGAACTTCCCAGCTGCACAACCTGGGGTATGTTTATACTTTTATATAGGGTATATAGTAGGATATGTTTATAGTTATAGATAGTTTATATATAATATACTTTATAGTTATAGATAGTTTATGTATATATATATACTTCGAGTTTACTACCTGAGGTGAAATGTAGAAAAAGTATACTGTAAAGTACACTGTAAAGTACATTGTAAAGTACATTGTGTGTAGAACAACAGTTGAAGAGGAAGGTGTATAAAAGCTAACCAGCAAAACACTGCTCAGCACTTGTAGCCCCTCTGGGCACGTTAGTGACGGGTGTTTCACCAGGACACTCTACACAAGCTGCCCCATCCACGCTGTAGGTATTTTCTGGACATTTCTCACATCCTGTCTCTGCGCCCGGCCTTTTTCCCGCTCCGCAAGATGTGATTTCTTGTGCGGTTTCAGTCGGTTCCTCCGTAACTATCTCAACTGCAATGAGAAGATACACTTAATCTCTACATGCCTTACCGCTCCAGAACTGAGAGAGCAAACAACAGCAGCAAAAAAGGGGGATGGTCTAGGTTTGTATGGGGGCTCATGACCCCCAACTAAATGTGAGAGGAGGAGTTATAGATAAGATGGTCTGTCCCCTGTATTGCTGCTGTTTTTACAGAGGGGGGGTGTCTCCCCCTGTATTGCTGCTGTTTTTACAGAGGGGGGGGGGTATCTCCTCTTGTATTGCTGCTGTTTTTACAGAGGGGGTGGGGTATCTCCCCCTGTATTGCTGCTGTTTTTACAGAGGGGGGGGGGTGTCTCCCCCTGTATTGCTGCTGTTTTTACAGAGGGGGGGGGGGGGGGGGGGGGGGTGGGGTGACTTCCCCTGTATTGCTGCTGTTTTTACAGAGGGGGGGGGGGTGTCTCCCCCTGTATTGCTGCTGTTTTTACAGAGGGGGGGGGTGTCTCCCCCTGTATTGCTGCTGTTTTTACAGAGGCTGAGGGGGGGGGGGGTGTCTCCCCCTGTATTGCTGCTGTATTTACAGAGGGGGGGTGTCTCCCCCTGTATTGCTGCTGTTTTTACAGAGGCTGAGGGGGGGGGGGTGTCTCCCCTGTATTGCTGCTGTTTTTACAGAGGGGGGGGGGTGTCTCCCCCTGTATTGCTGCTGTTATTACAGAGGGGGGGGGGGGTGACTAGTTTAAACACTGCTGAGTATAAGTTGTATCTTAAAAGTGGTGTTATTAAATTTCAATTTATTATTATTATTGATAATAAATAATAATTTATAACCTGAGTTTATTTATCAGCTTTGAAACGGAAAGTTGATATTCGTCCAACAACCACTTACTTGTTCCTGTTGTTGAGCCTGTGGGTGGCTCAGTTGTAACTTCCACATCTCTGATTGTCAGTCCGTCAATCTTTATACTTTTGATGATGTTTTCAAATTCTAGGGATTTTATTGATTTACACTCAATAAAAACTTTGTGTAATGTATATATGTATAATGTGTAATGTGTAATGTATAATGTATAATGTATTATATATACTATAGTATACATTATGTCAAGAGCAGGGATATGTTTTCATATTCTAAAATGTAATAATGGACTACTTTAGTGCATAAAATATAATACAAGTTAGGACGGAGCTTACCAATTTCGTCGGCACAAAGAAATTGGGCATTGTAGCCTTTATGATAGTTCGTGTTAAAACTTTTTGCGTTTGGAACAGCACCTTCTTCCAACGTCATAATGTAACAAAGCTCATCCTCATCGCACGCTAGGATAAAACAAAATGAGTTTTCTCTTTCATCGGCTGATCTTAATATTTTGATAGTTAATATTATATTTCATTGTTGATTGTTTATGATTGTTTATCAATATAGTATACAGTAGTAGTTTTAATACTTTCAACACTACTATATAACAAATAATTTGAGATGATTCATCGATCCTGTTGATGGCGGTAAGCCGAAACTAGTCGAGACTCTGCGGATCAACCCGAGATACGTTGTATCACTGCTTAGTGCTTATGCTCAATGCTATCTAAAAAATCTTAAGATCCTAACGTATTTTATCTTGGGAGGATTGCGGCTAATTAACACCCTTGCTGGACAATCTCTACTTTCCTTAACGTCAGCGAAAGCTTTATCAATACAGTAGTAGTAGTAGGTACTAATATTACCTTCAGTTCTTGTCTTGTCTGCATCATCCTGTGTACAATCATCGGGCAGGTTCACTCTGGGGTTGTAGCAGATTGGACAATTCTCTTTGCTATACTCATCTGCTACGGCGTATCCAGCTGAAATTACATTCGTTGGTTTAACTGCAGTAAATGATGTTGAACTTGATAAGTTGATATCCATAACAAATAATTACATTCTTACAGTGGGTCAATATTTGAGCAGCACTATTTGAGTATTTGTCCTCTGCGGCGCACTAGGAGGCGCACTATTTGTCCTATGCGGCGCACTAGGAGGCGCACTATTTGTCCTTTGCCATTAGGGAAAATACTCAAATAGTGATTTGCTCAAATGGAACTCAAATAGTACTAGGAGGCGCACTACCTAATACTATGGTAACTAACTGTAACCATGGTAACTAGGAGGTGTACTACCTAATACTATGGTAACTAACTTTAACCATGGTAACTAGGAGGCGCACTACCTAATACTATGGTAACTAACTGTAACCATGGTAACTAGGAGGTGTACTACCTAATACTGTGGTAACTAACTTTAACCATGGTAACTAGGAGGCGCACTACCTAATACTATGGTAACTAACTGTAACCATGGTAACTAGGAGGTGTACTACCTAATACTATGGTAACTAACTTTAACCATGGTAACTAGGAGGTGTACTACCTAATACTATGGTAACTAACTGTAACCATGGTAACTAGGAGGTGTACTACCTAATACTATGGTAACTAACTGTAACCATGGTAACTAGGAGGTGTACTACCTAATACTATGGTAACTAACTGTAACCATGGTAACTAGGAGGTGTACTACCTAATACTATGGTAACTAACTTTAACCATGGTAACTAGGAGGTGTACTACCTAATACTATGGTAACTAACTTTAACCATGGTAACTAGGAGGTGTACTACCTAATACTACTGTATTAGGACTACAATTACTGTTCGACATAGTTTGATCTGAAATTTTTATAAAATGATACAGAATTATACAGCAATTAACTTATAAACAATGACTACAAAGAATGTTTAGGCTGAAACGTGCTCAGGCTGGTTAGGGCAGAAACTAATAAACAGGATTGTTTATTACTTAATTAGTTTCAATTAATAGTTAATTAATTGTAACATGATGGATAAAAGTGTACGTACCATTTGATATCTTTATCAAAGCCAAACAAGAAAGAGCTAACAGAGTCATGACTTTCATCTTCTTGAGACTTATTTTTTAGTAAAAATTAAACACTAGTTATAAGCTTTCTAAAACTTTTCATTCTGCGCTAACTTTAACTTATAATTAAAATTAATAACTCACAAAAAAGGCTACTCTTTAGAATAACCCTCTATTTTCTCAGTTTTAACTCATTGCTTATCTGGTTTACATTGGTTAGGAGATTTGTTTTGGACCATTGGGAGTCTCATATTTACGTTGACTGCTCTTTCACAGTTTATTATTAAGCTTTCAAGCAGTATTATATATATACTTATTAAGTAAGTTAAGTAATTTCAACGATTTAGTGTACAAAGCTCATGATAGACGCTTATGGAGAAGCTATGGGTGAGTCGAGACTACTCGGCCACTCGATTTTATGATTTATTTTCTATTATCCTGTGTTTGCTGTATATAGTTGATTAATAATTATATACTATTTTGTTTTCTATATTTTTTCAGACTTTTAGTCTAGTTATACATTAATTTATCATATTTTATTAAACTAAGGTGTAGTATTGCCACATCCCGGTTCAATTTGCAACGGAGTTTTATATTAACAGGAAGCGATGTAACAGAGTCGATATATTTTAATGTTGCCATGGAGTGGCAAGTCCCCATACATCGTGGTCCGGTAGATTCATTGCGTCTTAATATATGAACTTGATGGGCAACATTCTTTTGATGTTGAAGATATGCGAAGAAATCTTGGTGTGATCCCATAATAGGCGATGGTTTTCGTCCATGATGGAATCCTAGTTTTGAAACGTTAAGACTGCCCCAAATTGTAAACCAGGCATATCAGACACAATGGAAAGTCTTCTTCACAATGAGAACTGAAATGCATGTTTTGGGAGAATTTTCGGGCCACACCCTTTTTTGCCTTTAACGGCGATATTTTGCCCTATTTTCATATTATTTTTAATTTTTGGCTACCCTACTCTCAGTTAAACACACATTTCAATTTTATGCCATTTATTACAGAATAAGCCCTCACGCTAGCAAGCGAAGACTCATGGTTAGACTTGATCGGTTCAGCGCCGTGCGCCAATGAAAATTTAATTCAGAATATCTCGCAAAATAACTTTGCGCAGTTATATTAGGGACGTGGGCGACATTTGGGTATGCAGGCACGTTCGCTCGCAGGCAGGCACGCACGACGGTCGCAAGCTACCATATACGGAGAAAAAAAACCTCCTTTGCTAACCCTTGTCCTTGACTCTTTTGTGATTTCGGCACATGAGTCATGCTGTCATGGATCGGGAAAAAATTGCATAATTTATGCAAATTTGGCCTATCGTCCATTTTTGGGTTTTAGGCCTGCTGGGAAAATGACCATTTGCATGCACCTCTTGGGACTTTTAGCATGAACTGAGGTGTTCAGGAGTTAGATGAGACAAAAAGGAACAGTTTGCAATTAAAATTCATAACAAAAGGTTTTTTTTCCTCTTCATAATTTGGGGACTATTTTGAATAATTTTTGACTTTTTTAAAATGAGGACTCAAAATAGTTTGCTTAAGTTTTCAGAAGTCACAAACAAATCTCCCAACCCTTGAGGTAAACATACTAAGAGATACATACTACTACCATTAAAGGAAAATTTAGGAAATTGAGGAAATGAGGAGGGTTACTAACTGGGGCGTTTTTTTTGGGACACCCTGTATTCTACCGAGTGCAAATAAAAGTTCAGGAGTGACTACTTGGATCAAGAAGAATAGCGACAGTGAGGCTTAATAGGCAAATGCCTTCTTAATAGCGAGACCATGATGTCCACAATCTGAGCTAATAATAGCGAGTCTGGCCGATCAATACAGGATTACAAAAGGTTACACCACAACAATGCAGGATTACAAAAGGTTAAACCACAAGAATAGAGAGGTTGCGCTGCTGTAACCCAGTATTGCTACCAACCAGGCTCCTCACAATACACTGGGAGAAGGTTATTCTCTCTCTCACAATTGGAATATTAGAATCCTTTGTTTTTTAATTAAATCCGGCCTGATCTGACCTTTTACATCATGACAATATGATTTGCTTGGATTAAACTGTATGTTAGTGGTGTGTAGAAAGAATAAACTAAATGAGCTATAGATATCAATATGAATATCTATACTACCCCAGTGTGTTGGGTTTGTGCACTGTACTGTACTACTGCACCAATAGAGTGGCTAACAGGAAATTATATGACACATAAAATGGTAAAAGTTTCACCACACATTGACACACCCAGCTATAAAACTACCGAAAATAGCAAAACGGAGTCTACTAGTTACCATAGCAACCACAGCAACACTCACAGTAATACTTAAACATATCTGTGAGGGTAAGAGTAGGTTACCAGTCAAGTGGTGTTACCACAGCAACACTACCATATAAAGTAATGATACCATAGCAACACTACCAGATAAGGTAATGTTAGTGATTAAATTTCAAGTAACCGTAAAATTGAGTAAAATAATGATCACGTGCAAAAGTAAAGCGAGTCTCACACTCCACCAGTAGTACAGTATAGATATATAGTATATTATAGTATAGATACAATATAGTATATTATAGTATAGATATATAATATATTATAGTATAGATATATTATAGTATACTATAGTATAGATATATTATAGTATACTATAGTATAGATATATTATAGTATACTATAGTATAGATATATTATAGTATACTATAGTATAGATATATTATAGTATACTATAGTATAGATATATTATAGTATACTATAGTATAGATATATTATAGTATACTATAGTATAGATAAAGCCTTGCAAGTAAAATCCTCGCAGCTACAGCTGTATGTTGTAGTAAGCAAGATAATACACTATGTAGCTATGTGTACGGCTCATAAACTTAATAAATATTTGGTCTTTCCTCCGTACTACCATAGCGTTGGTAACTACTGGTATCCGCCTATATTGCCTAATATGGTAGTGTTACTATGGTAACATTACCTTATATGGTAGTGTTACCATCCTACCATAGCGTAGGTAACTGCTGATATTCTCATATGAATTATAAGTTACTAAATTAGTCGGGTGGGAAACTTTCAAACTGTGTAAGGTAGGTAACATACCGCGCGGTATTTAATAAAATATTTAAGTATTTACTGTTATTTGCAGGTTGTTTTAGAGTTTTAAGGTTTCTACTTAACCTGCTGTACGGTTAGTCTCTACAGCAACTTAACCCCCTGCACCTCTCAGGTAGCACCTGCCCCTAAGAAACCCTCTGCAGATCTAGAGACCAGTGTGGAGAGTGAGGATGGTACTATAACTGGGGAGGGAGGAGTGGGGGATATCAGAGTAGAGGTACAGGTAGAACTAGCAGTGTGCCTCCTCTACACTGATGAGAAGATACTGGTAGGTGGATTATATACTATGTGCAGTTGCAGTGGTCATTAAGATGCTTCTAGTGGTTGCTAGGTTACTGAGTGTTTGCTAGGTTACTGAGTGGTTGCTAGGTTGGTGAGTGGTTACTAGGTTACTGAGTGGTTGCTAGGTTACTGAGTGGTTGCTAGGTTACTGAGTGGTTGCTAGGTTGGTGAGTGGTTGCTAGGTTACTGAGTGGTTGCTAGGTTACTGAGTGGTTGCTAGGTTACTGAGTGGTTGCTAGGTTGGTGAGTGGTTGCTAGGTTACTGAGTGGTTGCTAGGTTACTGAGTGGTTGCTAGGTTACTGAGTGGTTGCTAGGTTACTGAGTGGTTGCTAGGTTACTGAGTGGTTGCTAGGTTGGTGAGTGGTTGCTAGGTTGGTGAGTGGTTACTAGGTTACTGAGTGGTTGCTAGGTTACTGAGTGGTTGCTAGGTTACTGAGTGGTTGCTAGGTTGGTGAGTGGTTGCTAGGTTACTGAGTGGTTGCTAGGTTACTGAGTGGTTGCTAGGTTACTGAGTGGTTGCTAGGTTACTGAGTGATCGTTAGGTTACTAAGTGGTGGCTAGGTTACTGAGTGATCGTTAGGTTACTAAGTGGTGGCTAGGTTACTGAGTGGTTGCTGGGTTACTGAGTGGTTGATATGTTACTGAGTGGTTGCTAGGTGATTAACTCATGTTTCCTCTATCCAGGATATCTCAGACCCACTATCGGGAAATAGAGAAGAAGATAAGATAATAATGTACTCTGAAGCAAGGAATGTAACCCTGGATTTGAGGATGTTTGGTGAGGGGGGCAAGAGAGTGGAGGTGAGGATATGGGACGTGAGAGTGGAGGACACTGACACTCAGGTCATGGAGTCCGGGATTCAGAGGTGGGTTTCACTTTCACTTTCGCTTTCACTTTCAATTATATGGGGCGTGAGAGTGGAGGACACTTTCACTTTCACTTTCACTTTTACTTATATCACGTTCCTAGTACAAACTCCTCGATGTACAATTTTGAACTCGAGGCTTCCTCCTTGTAATACGATCTCGGAAGGCAGGCCTCCCCTTTGCAATACGAGCTCGGGAGCGGGAGCTCTGCCTTCAGAGGTACTTATCGAGAATGACTCTGACCAAAGATTTGTAACGTCAAAATTTAAAAAAGTTTTTCTGGAAACTAATTTTGTTCACGTTTCATGCTACTCTGATATCAGCCGGTCGGTTCCTAGTCCGTACCTACATTCGGAAATCGGAAGGCTGTGATTGGTTCCATATACTACTTATAAAGAACGTACTAATATTTGGCCCTCAGATTTAGGATAAAGGAAAGTGCGATTTTTCGCGGAGAGCTGAAAATCGCGATTTGTCGCGGAGAATGGGGAAAATCGCGATTCCGCACATGCCGCGATTACCTTTGTCCTTGCTTATATGGGACGTGAGAGTGGAGGACACTGAGTCCGGGTTTCACTTTCACCTCCACTTTCGCTTTCACTTTCGCTTTCACTTTCACTTTGTCCGGGTTCCCCTCTCTCCTCCTCCCCCTGCTTAGTAAAATTCTTCACATTCTTTACATTACTACCCACTAACCAGGATACTAGCACACAAGCAGCTAGCTAACGAAGAAGCTCACCTTATCACTAGTTTGAGCGGGACTAGCTCTGCTATACCGGCCAGACGTGCCATAAGTCTGGATCTACCCCAACCTATGGTATGTTGTAGTCACATGTTGTAGTCACATTTTGTAGTCACATGTTGTAGTCACATGTTGTAGTCACATGTTGTGGTCACATGTTGTAGTCTCATGTTGTAGTCACATGTTGTGGTCACATGTTGTAGTCACATGTTGTAGTCACATGTTGTAGTCACATGTTGTAGACACATGTTGTAGTCACATGTTGTAGTCACATGTTGTAGTCACATGTTGTAGTCATATGTTGTAGTCACATGTTGTAGTCACATGTTGTAGTCACATGTTGTAGTCACATGTTGTAGTCACATGTTGTAGTCACATGTTGTAGTCACATGTTGTAGTCACGTGTTGTAGTCACATGTTGTAGTCACATGTTGTAGTCACATGTTGTAGTCACATGTTGTAGTCATATGTTGTAGTCACATGTTGTAGTCACATGTTGTAGTCACATGTTGTAGTCACATGTTGTAGTCACATGTTGTAGTCACATGTTGTAGTCACGTGTTGTAGTCACATGTTGGAGTCACAGGTTGTAGTCACATGTTGTAGTCACATGTTGTGGTCACATGTTGTAGTCACATGTTGTAGTCACATGTTGTGGTCACATGTTGTAGTCACATGTTGTAGTCACATGTTGGAGTCACATGTTGTAGTCACATGTTGTAGTCACATGTTGTAGTCACATGTTGTAGTCACATGTTGTAGTCACATGTTGTAGTCACATGTTGTAGTCACATGTTGTAGTCACATGTTGTGGTCACATGTTGTAGTCTCATGTTGTTTTCACATGTTGTAGTCACATTTTGTAGTCACATGTTATAGTCACATGTTGTAGTCACATGTTGTAGTCACATGTTGTAGTCACATGTTGTAGTCACATGTTGCAGTCACATGTTGTAGTCACATGTTGTAGTAACATGTTGTAGTCACATGTTGTAGTCACATGTTGTAGTCACATGTTGTAGTCACATGTTGTAGTCTCATGGTTCGTGGTATGTTGTAGTCAGATAGATTCCTGTCTAAATAGAAAGACAGTTTCATGATACCTCCAATATTTACAGATGATAGCGACAGTGGATCTCAGTGAAGAGGGTGACATTATTGTGGACTCTAAAATAGAACGTACACCACCTGTGTGGTTAGCTGGGTTCAATAACATAATCACATTTAAGCTTTTATGACCCTGGGTTGACTGCTGAAGGGCGACGGGTCTGACATTAATTTTATCTTATTAAAACCTATATTCCAATAAAATTTAGTTTTAGTTATAATTCTATAAATATGCAAATATTAATTTACAGCTCTCGCAATACATTAATTCTTAAAAATTTTAAATATGCCATATACGCTTAATTTAGATACCGATGCATGTATTACATATCAAGCTCATAATAACCAGAAAAAAAAATAACAATAATATAAATTAAAAGCATGAAGCAAGTCCAAAACCAATTCAAAGCATGACACAGGTCTGAAACATTGTCACGGAAGCTGCAAGCTTATAACGTTTGATTCCACGTTTGTCCGTTATTATGCAGTCACCTTCAGGCGATGTCGACGGATCATGCGAAAAGGGTTTTGACAGCTGTGCCCTTACCATAATAACTGAACCATTGCCTGATTACGTTTAAAATGATGTTGGATAGGTGACCACGCAAGCGCTCGCAGCGCGCATTTGTGTCCGCTCTTACAAATAGCGCTTTAATAATTTAGCTACCAAGACTAAATCGCGCGTTTACTAAAGTATCATTTTCCCTTCGGATAAAAGTGAACGTTACAACCGCGTGTAACCTGCTTCAATGGTTTGTGTGCATGTGTGGTGGAGTGAGCTGTATAATGGAATGATTGAAGAATCTGTTTCTTTTGTGTTATATATATTGTGAGTGACAGGTAAATGTAAAAGAATCAAAGATAATGGGGTACTTTTCAGAGGAAAGTGTTGAAGTTTAAGTCCTGCCAGTTAATATTGTCAGGTTGGTGTTGACCTCATGATAGAATCTTCATTGGATTTAATTGAACCAGTGAACCTATTTTAAACCACGTGCAGTGACTGCTCAAGACCACGTATAATTCCATAGATTTGCCCCTTTATAGCGTAATTGTTGAGATGAGTGTGTGTCACAAATCGTCATCTCTGAGTCAACTTCTTAAAGAGAAGAATACATGGATATGGGCTGATGACCTTCACTATCGTCATGTTTTCAAGCAAGCATCTGTATCTAATATTTTAGGTCACTGTCATTAGTTCCTTAGATTGAAAATCGTTTTGGTGATTCTCTAGAATGGAAAAGTTGGTTGATTCTAAGTGGTTAAAGGCTAAATCCTCAGCTCACATCCTTGTCACCAGCTAAGTATCAGCAACAAGCTCTCACGTTGTTAGTCGGTAGTTCTTACAGTTGAGATAAGATTGTGATCATCTTGCTTCCATAATCACAGATTCTTGGGGTGTTAGGGATGTCCCAACCACACCAAGATGAAACAGCATCTCTGAATCTGCTCGCTAATAAAGCATACCACCCTAGCTTTGAATGGGGAGACAGTTAGCCAAGCACCTGAACCCATGTTTCCTTGTACCTTGCATGACACCCAAGTATTTCATCCACTTCACTCATTATCTCACAAGCTCCTTCTTCAAGCTAATTCTTTAACTAACTAGGCTGTTACTCTGCCCTTTATCTAATTTTTATCCAACTTCATCAGGGATGCATCCTGGTCATAATAGTCAACCAGCTCCTCTTTTATCTGAGTGACTCTGGTATTTCCTTTTTCCGCGATCTCTACTGCTCAACGCTAACCAACCACCCCTCATCTTACAGGTACGCAGACATTCTCCTGTGCAGGTCAGTCACATTCCTCCAATAATTGCAGGAATGAACATTCTCTTGTACCTTCCTCACAATGGATGAAGAGTATTAATATGTTCTGGATGGTTCCATCACAAAGTCCAACCGAATGACAGAGGGCTTGTATCCAGATAGGGCTGCCGGAGTTCACTAGAGCAATTTTCTACAACTCTATTCTACATCCTTCACCCATTTTCTACTTTTATTTTTTGCATACGGCTCTCTAGCCTCCTCTCTCACCGATCATTTTCCCCAGATGATGCGCCCCATCGCATGTGATCCTCTAACCATATCTCCAATAAAAACATGGCTGCTGGTAGTAGCCTTTTTGGCCCTTAGGATAAGAATAGTCTTCATTTTTTGGGGAAGTAGCCCTAACTAGGACCGTTTTCAAACGAGTAAAATCCTACAACAGCCCGAGTTTCTTCAGAGAAACCTGCGGCTGCATCACCAACACACCCCTTGCATCAATTGTAAGCTGTAGCCGCTGTTACAGGCCAGTATTCTCGGTATAATCCACGATGCTTATTTACATTACCCGATATCAAAGTTTGGTGTGGTAACTCTCTGCAGTGGCTCCTAAAATGTACAAAGGACTTTCTGTTACCAGCAACAGTTTTTATACTTCAACACTACTATATAACAAATAATTTGGGACCCCTAAACTGCAACTTTACTCAAATTTGTCACTACTAACCCCCCCCGTGACTACATTAGAGACTCGCCGTCCAACAGGATCTTCTTGTGTTGCCCCAAAGATGAATCAATGAAATTAAAGTGGCCGGTTCGGTGTCTTCGAATTATGTACCATTACGGATAATACAATGATTAAAAGATCCTCGACAGCTGAGAAAATGGACTTGTGTGCAAACTGTGCATTGAAAAAACCCAAGTAAAAGATGAAACGGTATGTTGTATCAATTGTAAAAAAGTTGTTTCATGCCCTCTGTGTGGCTTCCTGTTCAAATGACTCAACAGTGCTAGCCCAAGTCTAAGTCATTGCCTAATAATCCCTGGACCAAGTCTTTCTACACAGCCTTTTGTACAAAACAAGTTCGAACAAAAGTAAAGAACAACATATGGAAACTTCCTTATGTTGAATCCTTGCTTTACACATCATCAGTGAATCAGACTAGCACAACTAATGATCATGTTCAGTTCTTGACAACAGAGTAACACACTTAGCTAGTGATGTCACAGAGATTATAGAAATTATTGAGAATGTAATTGCTGGGAATCTATTAACATCCCTGTTATATCTCATCTCGACACCCAAAGCACAGTGTACCTTGAACCAGCTACTGATCAGGTGAAACGTGTGGCTCGATGAAATAAGAACAAACCTTGCTGTTGTTACAAAAGGTGCTATGTTCCATGTAAATATCTAGAAAAGACATGGGTTGAGAATGCATCCAGTTCATAAGCAATATGTTGATAGTAAGGTGATCAAGTACTCCATATCAGCCAAACCCAAGCTGCACGAATAATCTGAGACAAGCTATATCACAGGTATAGCGCTAATCAACTGAAAAACAACCAAAGCAAAGATATCCCACTATATCTCATTGTTGGCTACCTAAGGATTTTAATAAGATCACAAAAAGAAAAGAACACCATCCTGAAGCCAAAATCCTACATTCTCACTCCTCAAAGCAACTCTTCACTGTTGATGTTCGGTCCTTTGAAACCTCTCCGTCAAACCAAAATATCAACAACATCATAAGGTTGAGTGATAATATTTAGAATTTGCTATAGCGAAAGATAATAATAACAGGTTTTCTTTTTTCCGGTTTAACTGTCTTGCCATGTGTAGACCAATTCATTACATAAAAGATGTAACACGTGTCAAGGCTTTGTCACTATTCCTAAGACTTTGTAAAACGAGTTATGTGGGTTCACGCGCCGCCCCTGGACATGAAACTCACAATGTGATAAAAGGACAACAATTCAGAGGAGAAAAAATGTCTAATATGCCCACATACTGTTGTATCAACTGCAAAAAGTCTGGCTCCACCTGATGATTTATGTAAACAGCGGCATTTTCTACTGATGAGTGTCCTTTCTTACCAGGTTCACAAAGAAAAACATAAAGCTCCCTATCTTATTATTCAAAAAAACTAGTTCCTCCATACCAATAGAAATTGCTTCAACTTCCGATAATGATCTGGAAGCTAAAGTCTAATAATAATGTGTGACGACATTATGTCTTACCTTCAAATCATGATTGTAGACGTTGCTATTGTAAACTGAAACCGGTTTATCTGACCAAAGCCATACACAAACAGCATTATAAAATCATATGGCTACAGTATTGTTCATGATTTCAGAGCAAAACAACAGAAGGTGCACTGCCCCCTCCCTGATTTACAACATGGCATTACATTTTTCTGTTTGTTAATTTGAAAAGTTCCGAACCTGACAACCTTTGAATCATCGCTGATCTATAAAGTGCACTCCTGCCCTGAAGATCCTTTTCCCTATGCATCTATCGAACTGGCCTTCGTCAAAGAAGTTCTTTGAGGAACTGATGACTTATTGGGTTCTGCAAGTCCTGAAAAGTGACTAAAATACTAATTGGAGAGATTTCAATATTCACTCAGAGTCCAATTACTGTAAACTCAACAGAACTGCCTGCATGACCACCTCACTTATGTTTTCAAGCAACTATTGAAAATCCGAACCCACATGTGGAGAACTATTGACCTCTCTCTTTGACCAGAGTAAACTGATTGAAACGTCTACAATTGTAATCCTGAAAAAACTGTACCCTGATATCACTTCCCCCATATTGCCACCAAGAATTCAAACTACCTCAAAAGCTCCTAAAACAATCCAATACTAACCACCGTAAAACCGTGGATTGTGATCAGTTGCGATTGATTTACTGATGTGTTCTCAGACTATGAATTGCAGACTGCTTTGTTGATCTTTTGTGAACAGTTTTTTCCAATGCATTGTAGTGTCCTCGATGAACATGCACCTTTGTCCTAAAGACTATAAGCTTTTGTTCCCCATGCTCCCTGTGTGATTCTGAGTTACAAAGATCAAGGAAACTTAAGAAGGAAAGCCTGATAGAACTAAGCATAATATGAGGAGAACAGGATAACTCTTTGAAGTGATCCGAGATTGAAACAACAAACATGGCTACATCTTAAAAAACAACAGTATTATAACTGTACTTGACAAAAATCAACATGAGTAAAGCATATATACATTGTCAATGTGAGCTCTTGACAACACAGAATAAACTCCTCTCCAGAATCAAAGATTTTCAAAACTTGCAGTGATTTAAATCACTATTCAATGAAAGAACAAGAACATTAGGAAAGATTTCCCCA